GGTCTTCTTTATTCAGAATTTTTGTGTGAGTAAAAACCATTGGTTGTTGAAAGGTAAATCCGAGATTCCTTCACACCAATAGCTGTTGTCGTGAAGGAGAAACCAGAGGTGGAGATGTTGAGGGAAGGACACTATCGTGTACATGTGAACTAAATAACAGTTCTTAGTTATATCACTGTGACGAGGAATCACAAAACAAAAATTACTACTAAAGTTTTCTCTTTTTTGGAGGCTGCCGATTAAAACATTTCTCAGAACGCTGTAATGTAAAATAGATTTACGTTCATTAGGGGAGAAAAACCACACCTCTTGCATGTTCAAATATATTTTCCTTGAAAGAACATACTGCTGGTAATTATGGTACCTGCGTTCTGTATTAAGTCACGAGGGAGTGGAGGTAAACAAAACGCTAGGACGTGTTAATTGTTAAATAAATTAGTTATATATGTTCGTACGGTCTGCGGATCAAATCCTCGGACAGTGTACTTGACATGTTTAAATAGCATGATTTATATGTGAGGAGAATGAGTGATGAATGATTTTATTGTGATTTGTACGGGCGAGCTCCATGTCGTTCGCCGGTATGGTCTTTTCACTGCGATGACCCAGCATAGGCTCCACGGGTAGGGTAACAGCTCTTGAAGCTCACGGTTGATTCCTTCTCAGATCCTACCCATTCTCTGTTTGAGTGACGCGGAGTGGGGCAGTCTGACCATTATCCTTGTTAGCCCAGGAATGGATTATAGAGCCCTAATGGATTATAGCTCCCGGTTTGAGGATAGCCCCAGAATGGTGGATAAGGGTAATTGCCACCTAGCCCTCCGGAAAATGGGAATAACAACGGTTTGCCAAGGAAGGGTGGAATCAGGAACCGAGAGGTGGGCTTGCCTTTGTCGCCTTTGTCGTCAGCAGGTTCTTGGGCCATTGTTAGGCTGAGCGCCAGCAGGAGGACAACTACTGTCAGCTTCATCGTGGTCACTGTGGAGAGGGAGTACTGGTGAGAGAGAACAGTTACTCACAACAAAAAGATTACCTACAGAGAACAGTAACTCACAATAAAGAGCTTACCTACAGAGAACAGTTACAACAAAGATCTTACGTAGAGAGAAAAGTAACTCATAATAAAGAACTTACCTACAGAGAACAGATACAACAAAGATCTTACCCAGAGAGAACAGTAACTCATAATACAGAGCTTACCTAGAGAGAATAGTTACTCACAACAAAGAGCTTACGTACAGAGAACAGTAACTCAAAGAATGTTTCTAGCCTAAGGAGCAAATATTTACAAATCGTCCCTTTAACGGGAAGTGGATTACCTTGATACTAATGAAAGGCTGAGAGCATTTCTACGAATATACTACTACTACTACTAATTATTATTATTATTATTATTATTATTATTTTTATTATTATAACACATCGGCCGTTTCCCACAAAGGCAGGGTGGTCCCAAAAAAGAAAAACATTCACCATCCTTCACTCCATCACTGTCGTGCCAGAGGCGTGCTTACACTACAGTTATAAAACTGCAACATTAACACCCCTCCTTCATTATTATAACAATAATAATTATTATTATCACAGAGTGTTTAGAAAATATAGACAGAAATCATTCCGCGACTGCATCTACAGTAAGGAGCTGTATAAGCCGTATTAATTTAGCGCTTCTCCATGAATATAATAATAGTAACTAAGAAAGAGAGTGAGAGACAGAGAGAGAGAAAGAGAGATTTTTCACGGAAAGTGAACGCAATGAGTGTGCTTACTCACAGTGTGTCGGGAGAGAAGTTGAACACCACTTGCAGTACTGGAGTGTTGTGATGCTGGGGTGAGTCTGTTGGGCAGTCTTTATACCTGGTCTCGCCCACCAGTGCCACCGACTTCCGGAGAGCCTGGTGCCCACGCTTGACCTTCGCCTCACTTGCCCACTGGTGTGCCCACACCCGGTCCACTGACGTCCCATCGTCTTGGACCTTGACCTCCTCTGCCTACTCTTCTAAACAGTGCTCTTTCTTTTTCATCCCTCCGTTCTTCTTTCTTTCCTTTCTAACGTTCGTCCTTCCTTCCTTCCTTTCTTCCCCTAAGTTAGGAGCGTTTCTTTATCACATCGTTGCGTCATGTAATCCTATCTGCCTCACTTTCTCCTCTCTTTGCTCCTCCTTGCATAACATCACACACATGGGTCCAGAGCTTTTCATAGTAATAATAATATAATAATAATAATAATAATAATAACAGCAGCAACAATAATAATAATGATACTACTACTACTAATATTAATAATAATAACAACAGCAACAACAATAATAATAATGATACTACTACTACCACTACTACTAGTACTACTACTACTACTACTACTACTACTATAATAATAATAATAATAATAATAATAATAATAATAATAATAATAATAATAATAATAATAATAATAATAATAATAATAATAATAATAATAATAATAATAATAATAATATAATAATAATAATAATAATAAAAAAAAAAAATAAAAAAAAATGAAGAAGAAGAAGAAGAAGAAGAAGAAGAAGTATAATAAAATAATAACTTAATAAAGGAGCACTACAATAGGCCTAACTGGCCCATGATAGGCAAGTCCTCCTCACACTCACTCGCTCTGATGTATTTCTCAAAATTCGTTTCTTAGAGCTACTCAAAGAATTCCCTCATGCGAGTACTTGAAATTTTGCTACGCTTTCTCTTATCCTTTCTAAATATCCAGGTTGAGTCCATGTCAGTGAGTTCTGTTCTGACTTCACATTTTTACTGTTTTATTTATATTTTTTTTCATTTGCAAACACTATCATGTCCCATATAATTCTGCACCTTGTTAGAGAATGTAAATTCAGCTTTTTTGATCTATGCAGGAGAGTGTTTTAAGTAGAAATATGTCCAGTCTGTAATATGGAGACCAAATCTGAGCTGTTTAATCCAAGTGTTATTCTACCAGTACTTCACACCTGCATTTATTCATTATTCTGTTTATTCATTTCCAGTCTGCTTTCTTGCTTCCTCTCTCGTTCTCTCACTACCCTGTTCTTCCTACACTGGACCTGCCTAGTGCCTCCACCCACACAAGTGGCATCAAGGTCCCTCTGTTGATGAATAAGACACATGTGCAACACTTGTGTATCTGTACTGCTGAATACTCGGCAGTGGAGATACCCAAGGGTTGTATATGTGTCTTATTTATCAGTTCGTTTTAGTCAATGAATGTGATTAACGTGGCCGTGTGTATCCACAGGTAGGTGTCATACACCTTCCCGTGGAGGAAAAAAACGCAGTTAAGGCTATCCCTTCCTGGTAATTTTTCGCCCACACGGTGGGTTTTATGAGGTCAAGCAAATATGTTTGTGATATGATAAAAGTCCACTGTGTGGGCGAAACGTTGTTAATAAAAGATCTCTTCATACTGCATTCGTGTTTTTTTTCCTTCGTATATGCATTTTACACTGTTTCTCCCATACTTACAATATTAATATTCTCTCCTTCATCCCACACATTTCTTTGTTATCATGGAATCATTTCTTACTATCCTTATTATTCTTTCTTATTAATTTGAGTTCTGGCAGATGCAAGTTGGAAAAAAAATGTCTGTTAAAAAATACTGTTGTCTGTTAAAAGCGAATTAATATCTGCCATGTTTATTAGCATAGTTTTCTTGTCTAAAATTATGAATACACGTAATTAGCACTTCTTAATTAATTGCTAATTGCTTGCAAATAGCTAATTACTTACATTTAAAATTACCTTTAATGACTGTAATGGAAGATTTACAACCTTCTTTAATATCTACTTGATATTAATTGGCTTACGCAGTTGCAGTTGCATTCTCTGTATAAACAATTTTGCCTAGATAATACAGGGAAACTAATTTGTTATTTGCATATTAATAAAATCATTATTTTTGCCATGAGAGTTATCATGCGCATTAATGAAATCCATGCGAATTTTTATTCCCATTACCCATTAGAGGGATACTTCCCATTATACCTGCTCTTGGAAGTGTGTGTACCTGGAGAGAGTTTCGGGGATCTGCGGCCCGGTCTGTGACCAGGCAGCTGGTCACAGACCGGGCTGCCATCTGCTAGCTTAGCTTTTTCGCTGTGTCTCCTTGTCCCTGGTGCTCAGAATCCACGTCATCCTTATCTGCCTTGACATTTCTGATTAGTATTTATGAACGTCGCAATTATGTCTTCTCTAGTCCTTCTGTCTTCCAATCACGAGAAGTTCAGTCCCCCATCATTGAGCAATGTGAGTAGTCTGGTTTCAAGTAAGTTCAGTAACAATGATTGTAGAGTCCACAACTTGGACTGTACGGGTAGAGGACTGTGCAGAGGACTCAGTTAAGGCAGAGTCAGTAGGAAAGAATGACGGAAAAAATAGACACAAATATAGTTTAATGGGATATTTTATTGAGCACGTTTCGCCCACACAGCGGGCTTTATCAAGTCACAAACAAATCTACCTGGGCAAAGAATACATGTGTGTATATATAGGGTGGGGAGTCAGGCGGAGAGTGTTAGAGAGGTTGGATTTGAGACGGCCCTACACGGGACGGGTGACTGTGCATGTTTTTATGTAGGGTAACAGTGAAGAAGTTTCCCGGTAAGAGGTTCAGCTATGCTGTAAAAGCCGTTGTTCTGGTTGAAATTGTTAGATAGACAGATATGCTTTGTGTCTATTTTTCCATCGTGTCGGTATATTATGACATTTATCTCTGGAGAAGAGTGACCTTTATTCACAGAGAGACAGTATTTTGAAACTATATTATTCATGATTTGTTTATTCAGTGACATGTATGCAGATAGTGATAAAAGTAGATAATAAAAATTAACATATGCATGTGAGTTACAAACATACTATGTATTGTTTATACATGTTAGGTGCATGAATCTCCATTATATTGTTCCCTTTGAACGTGGAAATTTGCACAGGGAGTCAAGTATTATATTTCTTGGATGCTTTTGAATGAAAGCCGACTTAATACACAGTATATTTAAGTACATAAGGAGAAAAATACATTTGCTCGTTTAATTATATTTACATTCAGACAGCACTAGTAAGAGATTTTGACAGATATTTACATTTATTCTTGAGCGAATACGCTGGCCATAGGTAAAGTAATGTTTGAGAATGGACGAGTAATGACAAGGTTTATGAAGCTGGCAGTCTATACCAAGACAAGAGTGTAAAGGCGATTCAACACACATGAATGAAATACTGGTTAAATAAATTAGTTAAATATATGAGTGTGATTTGCAGATGACCTCCACGGATAATGTGTTTAAGATGAATAATGGTGTGAGAATTATGTGATGCAACAGGATGAAGATTAATCTTGGTGCAATGATTTGGTTGAGCGAATCTTGAAGTTCACGGTCGACGTCTTTATAGTTTGGATCCTTTCTCTGTTGGACCTCTGTGAAGTGGAGCATTTTCCACTTTATCCAATAGCTGGTTTAGTGTTACCTGTACCTACTTGTATTAAAGGCTTATCATTTAAGCCCAATCCTTGGTATACCCCAGGATATCCTCCGGATACTTGAGCACTGCCTGGACTGTCCGATAATCCTGGAAAACCGCCATGTTGGCCCCCAAATACTGGAAAAATACTTGGATAACTTCCTCCAAAGAATGGGAAAAATGGAAAGAAGCCTTTGTTGCCACCAAATCCAGGGAAAGTGGGAAGTACAGGGAATCCGGGTGGACTGGGAAGTGCATGGAATCCGGGTGGGCTGGGAAGTCCAAAGAATCCGAACGGGAACTTGATATTGCCAAAGAAGGGCAGTAACCGGGAGTTGGCCTTACTGGACGAGTCGGTCTTCTCCGCCAAGGTTAAGCTGGACACCAGCAGGAGTATCGTCAGCGTTGGCTTCATCGTCGTCACACTGGGGAGGGAGTAAGAAGATATTACACAAAGACTAAGCAACATTTTGGGAAGAATTAGACACGTGCGACATCTGGGTATTTTTATTGTAGACGTTTCGCCATTCAGTAGCTTTATCAATACACTGGATGGCGAAACGTCTACAGTAAAGTTATCCAGATGTTGCACATGTGTCTAATTCTTCATTTTGTCGGTACTGTACATCATACAAGTACATTTTTGGGAAGGCTATGATAAGCAAGGTGAGAGAGAGAGAAATAGAATGAAAATGAGAGAATATGTAATGAAAGATTACTTTACCTCCTATTTTAAGTATTAAAGTATTCTTGATTGGTAGTGCTCAGCCTTAATGACACTCGTGTTGCAAGAGGCTTTAAACAGAAAGAAACCAACTAACCATCACTACATAATATACAACGTTGCTAAGGAGCTGCAATATTTGAAACATATTCTTCTTTAAGTCTTTCACTTTCATTCGTGTTGCAAAAAAAAGCTTGAGAAAGTGTTATTAAAGGAGCAAATTATTCGTATAAGTGAAAAATAAAATGATAGAAAAGTGTTTGTTTAAGAGAAAGTATTGACAGAAAAATGTATTTACTCACAGAGACATTTTGAAGAGTGCATTGACAGTGACTCACATCAGAGCGTATCTAGAATAACGAAGTTACAGCGTAAATATATTCACTTGCAGTTACTTACGGTGTGTGAGGAGAAGTGCAACAGGTGGGGAGTGAGAGTAGAATGATGCCGAGGTGAGGATCTCGCAGACTTTTTATACTTGGTCTTGCCTGCAAGTTATGCGGGTACTCCGGAGCTGCGACCTGCCTGTAGACTTCGACCGACGCCCTAAAAGACGCCCACACGCCCATGGTGCATCCGTTTCCTTGCCTGTTGATCTGCCATTTTGGTCCATGACTTCACTTCAAGCCTCCTTGGCCCTCGACCTCTGCTTCGTACTTATCTGGATCATACTTTCCCTTTCATTCCACATACTTGCCGCTTCCATCAACCGTACTATTTAGCTTCTTTATTGTCCACTTTTCTATGTATACATTCTATGTATACATGATTTGTAAATTTCACTCGTTTACTCTACTCTCCGATCACTTAACTGTTAAAAAATCATAACCTTAATTTTTAAGAGTGTGTGGAACGGTAAGCCAGCAGAAGGCCTCGGTCAGATGACCAAAAGCTCCAGCGGGCGGCGTATCATATGGCTAACCTATAACCTAACTTACCTGTTCAGCCTCAGTCCTCACTTTACGTGTATAGACTCTTAACCCGATCACACAATGCCATCATTATCTCCCTGTGTTCCTCACCTCGGTGATACTATCTCTGGTTGCATGCACCATGCTGGATCTACTGGAGAACTTTAAATTTTATTCTTAAATGTTCTTGTAGTTTAGAAAGATGCAGCTGAATAATCCCTGCCTTTTTTTCATTTAATAATTCTGACGTAAATCTTTGGCCAGAGTCAAACACGATTTTAAATTTCGATATTTTTTCCTTGGTTTTCTTTGGCAAATTATTTCCTCTATACGTGATCCAGTGCCTCGTGTCTAGACATTTGCGCGTAAACGCACACACACACACAAAACACACACACACACACACACACACACACACAACACACACACACACACAACACCACACACACACACACACACACACAACACACACACACACACACACACACACACACACATGCACACACGCACACACAAACCACACACCACACACACACATAAACACACAAGCACACACACCACATAACCACCAAAGCAAACACAACACACAGGCAACGGCACAACAACCACAACACACGCTACGCTAGTGCCACAAACACAACCAAACACACCACACAAAAACGGGAGAAACACCACACCCAACACACACAACAACACACGCCAACAACAGCACACACAACAACACACACATCACATCACTACAAGACACATCACAGACACACACACAACACATCAGCACCATACGACTACACACAACACTGAACACCACTACACACCACACACAAAACACACACATGCACAACGCTCAACAAATCACGCAACACAAGAAACCTACAACAATAGAAACGACACACAACACACGACGACACAGGTCACGAAACAACAACACGCACACACTAAACAACACACACACAAACACAGCGACACAAACAAGATCACGGAGGAAACACACAAAACACACACCACACGAATACACACACAAACACACACACACAGCACAATCATCTCACACACACCAATGTCAAGCAGCACACACACACACAAGTCTGACAAACCTACACACTGTAAGCACGGTTTAAAAGATTGAGGGGAAGGAGCTAGCGGGAGGGGCGAAAGGTTGCAAAAGCACCCAACCCAAAAGGTAGTCAAAGGAAGGTTAAGGAAATCACACGACACACTGGAGACAAAGGCAGAACACATGCATAACGACAGACAAGATACACGCGAAAAAAGACAACACGAGAACCACACAACACATCCACACACACACAAAAACAACGAGCACAACGCAACGAAACCACCACACACAACAACACACACAAACATCACACACGCCACACACACACACAACACACCACACACACACACACACCCAACACCACACACCACACACACACACACACCACAAACACACACACACACATACACAACACACACACACACACACACACACACACACACACACACACACACACACACACACACACACACACACACACACCAGTCTGAAACCCACACCTGGTCAAGCACGTCAAGAAGTTAGAGAAAGTACAAAGGTTTGCAACAAGGCTAGTCCCAGAGCTCAAGGGAATGTCGTACGAGGAAAGGTTAAGGGAAATCGGACTGACGACACTGGAGGACAGAAGGGTCAGGGGAGACATGATAACGACATACAAGATACTGCGGGAAATAGACAAGGTGGACAGAGATAGGATGTTCCAGAGAGGGGACACAGGGACAAGGGGTCACAACTGGAAGCTGAAGACTCAGACGAGTCACAGGGACGTTAGGAAGTATTTCTTCAGTCATAGAGTTGTCAGCAAGTGGAATAGCCTAGCAAGTGAAGTAGTGGAGGCAGGAATTATACATAGTTTTAAGAAGAGGCAATCCCACCAAGTGCAAAGTCATGAGGATTGGGGAAGGGCAAAGAAGACCGCAGACGGAGTACAGTCTAGGGGGCCAGAGACTACAAACATCACTCAAGGAAAAAGATCTTGGGGTGAGTATAACACCAGGCACATCTCCTGAAGCGCACATCAACCAAATAACTGCTGCAGCATATGGGCGCCTGGCAAACCTCAGAACAGCATTCCGACATCTTAATAAAGAATCGTTCAGGACCCTGTACACCGTGTACGTTAGGCCCATATTGGAGTATGCGGCACCAGTTTGGAACCCACACCTAGCCAAGCACGTAAAGAAACTAGAGAAAGTGCAAAGGTTTGCAACAACACTAGTCCCAGAGTTAAGAGGTATGTCCTATGAGGAGAGGTTAAGGGAAATCAACCTGACGACACTGGAGGACAGGAGAGATAGGGGGACATGATAACGACTTACAAAATACTGAGAGGAACTGACAAGGTGGACAAAGACAGGATGTTCCAGAGACTGGACACAGCAACACGGGGACACAGTTGGAAGCTGAAGACACAGATGAATCAAAGGGATGTTAGGAAGTATTTCTTCAGCCACAGAGTAGTCAGGAAGTGGAATAGTTTGGGAAGCGATGTAGTGGAGGCAGGATCCATACATAGCTTTAAGCAGAGGTACGATAAAGCTCATGGTTCACGGAGAGTGACCTAGTAGCGACCAGTGAAGAGGTGGGGCCAAGAGCTTGGACTCGACCCCTGCAACCTCAACTAGGTGAGTACAACTAGGTGAGTACACACAACGGCCATACGATGTTGAACGCACCGCTTCTCGTCCGATCAGCTAAGTTAAGCAACGTTGGGTTTGGTTAGTACTTTGATAAGTGACCGCTTAGGAACACCAAATGCTGTTGGCATAAAAACTTTTGACGACACTAGAGGACAGGAGAGATACGGGGGGGGACATGATAACGACATACAAAATACTGAGAGGAAATGACAAGGTGGACAAAGACAGGATGTTCCAGAGATGGGACACAGCAACAAGGGGACACAGTTGGAAGTTGAAGACACAGATGAATCACAGGGATGTTACGAAGTATTTCTTCAGCCACAGAGTAGTCAGGAAGTGGAATAGTTTGGGAAGCGATGTAGTGGAGGAAGGATCCATACATAGCTTTAAGCAGAGGTATGATAAAGCTCACGGTTCAGGGAGATTGTCCTAGTAGCGACCAGTGAAGAGGCGGGGCCAGGAGCTTGGACTCGGCCCCTGCAACCTCAACTAGGTGAGTACACACCACACACACACACACAAAACACACACACACACACACACACACACACACACACACACACACACACACACACACATAATAACCAGCAATAATTAATACGTAAATCCAGAAAGGGCAATAAGTGGAGAGTGTTGCATAATTGGGAATATAAATGAGACTAAATTTGTGCCTACACGAGGGAAATCTTTAAACCACACCACCTACCCCCCCCCTAACCATCCCACCTTCACACACAAGCACACACACACAAGGGTAGACACTCACACACACACACACACACAAACACACACAAAACACACACACACACAAACCCTGCACACACACACACACACCACACCACACACACACACAAAACACACACACAACACACACACACACACACACACCCACACACACACACACACAACACAACACACACACACACACCACACACACACCCCACCCCACACACACACACACACACACACAACACCTCCACAACTTGAACAAACACTTGACACAACACGTACCCCCCCTCCCCTAACCACCTCTCCCCTTTCCTAACCACCCTCACCTTAGCCACCTACCCTCCCCCAAACCACCTAACCCCACCCCAACCCATCTAACCACCCCAACTTCCCCCCTCCCTCCAATAACCATCCCCCCTCCCCCATAACCATCCATCCCCTCTCTCTCTCTCAACACGTACTCCTCCCTTCCCTAACCATCTAACCCTAGCCACCTACCCCTTCCCCAAACCATCTAACCCCCTCCCCCAACAAATCTCTCCCCTCCAATAACCATCCTCCCCCCCCCACAACCATCCATCCCCTCTCCTCCTAACCATCTTATTCCCCTCCCCCTAACCACCCGTCCCCCCTTCTGTGGAGCAACGGGGGAACCTAGAACCAGGATGAGGACAAGGGGCTCCAAGGACGAATCTGGAAGGGAGGAATGGGAGGCAGAGCTCAAAAAAAAAAGGGAGGAAGAGTGGGGAAGGAGACTAGATGAGCTGGAAAGGAAGATGGAAGAGAGGTTAGCAGAAAATGCAGAAGGTGGAACCCAACAGGCCACAGCAGCAGAAATCAAGTTTAGAGAGATTAGAAGAGGAGCTGAGACACCTGAAACAGCACAGAGACAAAGATATTACAGAAGTAGCATCGGCAATGACTACATCAGACACAACAACAGGTCTAAAAGGAAGCATGGAAACTAACTGTATGCAGAGGTCCTGTAAAACCCACGGGGGCCCAAAAACAAAGACAGGGAGCACATAGAACAGAATGAGAGGTTGGAAAACTTTGAAGGAAACTAGGACATGTGCAGGGGCCATATCAGATACCTGTGGGGGCCAGGAACAGGTGGGGCGGGAAAAGGACAAACCAAGAAGCATGGGGGCCATAACTGGGGAAGGGACGAAGGAAGGAACACTCCACGGGAAGGAACTAAAACACATCAGAGGATGCAATGGGAGTCACAGTGGGAGGTGGAAAGGGAGAGATCCATGTTTGTCTAGGGGCTAGACGAAGCTAAAGGGAAACTTATGATGAAAGAAAGCAGGAGGAGAAAAAAGCGATTGAAGATATCATGAAGGTGTTTGGCGAGGGGGACATGACCCAGGTGGCAAATTTTCGGAGAACGGGTGGTTCACAAAGAAAAGGAATCAGCCCTCAAAGTAATTTTCAAGGCAGAATCAACCCGAACCATGATCCTGCAGGAGAAAGCAAAGGCTGAGAGGCAAGCAGGAGTTCCGGAGTGTGTACCTCGTCGAGACAGAACACAGGACGAAAGGGAAAACGATGCAAGGGGAGTTCAAAAACGAAAGAGAAAGAAATTTGGGGAAATGAAAAAGGAGAGCAGAATAACCCAGGATCAAATGGAAGACAACACACCCCCCAGAAACACCTGCAGAAGGGCTCCAGCCACGACACCCCCAAGGCAACTGAACAATCCAAACCAACCACACACACTGATCCCCTGTTCCCCCCCCCGCACCACAGTTACAGTATTAGAACAGAAGTTGAAGGTTTGGTACACAATGCAGATGGATTAACG